AAAATCTCTCAGCATTTGCTTGTCTGTAAAGGATTTTATTTCTCCTTCACTTATGAAGCTTATTTTGGCTGGATATGAAATTCTGGGTTGAAAATTCTTTTCTTTCAGAATGTTGAATATTGGTCCCCACTCTCTTTTGGTTTGTAGAGTTTTTGCTGAGAGATCTGCTGTTAGTCTGATGGGCTTCCTGACAACTGACATTTATGGAGCACTCCCTGTACTCCAGATGCTGCTCTAAATATGTTACATATACCACACCAACTACCATTGTCCTCAAGGTATGATAACTTGGTGCTTTCCTCTCTAGTATAAAGTTATTCATGTCATTTGGCTGGAACCTCCTGTCCTTTGATGGTGGTAGATGGTGAATTCTGAATGTCATCCCTAGATGAGTAGTAGCCTTAAGAATTGGGTACATGCAGAAATTTGGGAAGGAAGATAGCAGAATGTGGAATCAAGGCGAATCTAGAATAATGTAATATTGTGTGAATATGGGGCTAAGAGCAAGGGATGTATTTCAAATAAAGGCTCCAGTTGAAGAGGCTGGGCAGATACCCAGACAGAGCCAACAGATTTGGAATAGAAGGCAAGATGCGTGGGATAGAATGGAAGGTAGAGTTTCAAGAAATTGTAGTCCGAGTGAAACACACAGATTGTTGCAAGTAGAACTTAATGCACTGCCAAGGCTCAGTGAGGAAATGCCATCCTACTGTCCCTTTTTTTTTTTTTTGAGACGGAGTCCTGCTCTATCACTTGGGCTAGAGGGCAGTGGTGCGATTGGCTCACTGCAACCCCTGCCACCTGGGTTCAAGTGACTCTTCTGGCTCAGCCCGGCTCCCCTGCACCACGCCCCCCATGAGTAGCTGGGATTACAGGTGCACACCACCACGCCCTGCTAGTCTTTGTATTTTTAGTAGAGACAGTGTTTCCCCATGTTGGTTAGGCTGGTCTTGAACTCCTGACCTCAGGCGATCTGCCCACCTCAACCTCCCAAAATGCTGGGATTACAGGTGTGAGCCACCATGCCTGGCCCCATGAGACTTCTTGACTGTCTTCCCATCAAATAATGGTATCATCTCTGTTGCCCATTGATAGTTACACTTTCCCAACTGAAGGCTCATTCATTTTCTTGATTCATTATTTAATATATAAAGCTGACTGAAGGTACAGAAACCTATGAGGATATTAAGCTTTGGGGAATCTCTGCCCGAATGGATATTGGCAGTGTCTAGTAAAGATTGACATTTTTCTCTTGGCTGAGCCCATGGGAAGTGGCTGCCCCCAAATGGTATTCCTTGTGATCAAAACAGCTCCTTGGCTTCTGTGTCAGTCATTTAGGTTGCACTGACTAGCTCTTTTAAAGGTAGAATAGCCTACATATTGCATCTAAATTAAATCAGCTCATCCAGCAGCTTTGCTGTCAATCTAGCCCATGGTCAGTGGGCACCATTCTCACACTGCTAAACAAAGTTATATGTTTCCTGGAGTATGGTTATGAAAGGCAAAATTATAGAAATAAAACTACCTAATGAAAGTACTGGTTAAGTATATCTTAAGTAGCTTCACTAATGAATGCTATATACCTTGAAAAATAATGAGATAGGATTTATAGATAGTGAATTGGAAAGATGGTTATGATTTATTGCTAAGTGGGTATGTATAATGTTATCCCATTTGTGTAAAAGCATATATATGCTAATGTACAGTGATAAGATTTGTGGACAGTTACCTGTATTAGAAGTAGGTGGAGGGAAGGAGGCTTTTACTTTCCTTTAACTTTATAGTTTTCTGTACAGTTTGAATACAATTCAGAGGTATTATTTCATATATATATAATTCATATAAAATAAAATTCTCTCCCTATTATTTCCTAACACATTTTGTGTTGGCTGTTTCCCTGGGTTTTTCTAAACTGTTTTGCTTTGATTTACTGTGGGTGTGCTGGAGAAAGTGGGAGGTGGAGAGAGAGAGTGTGTGTGTGTCTGTGTGTGTGTGTGTTTAGGAATTGTGTCTGTGTGTTTAGGAACTGGAGCAGGCTCTGAGGAATTGCACCAGAGTAGATAAAGCAAAAAGGCGATGAAGCCATTGGTTAGCATTTATCTTTCCAAGGGTCTAAGATTCTTCCTTTACATCAAACCCTTTCTTTGCAGCTGTCTTCCCCTCCACCTGCCTGTGAAGTCACATGCTAATTAATAGATCTTTGTGTGCTGCCTTTTTCACCACTGTGCCCTCAACACCACTCCTAGCCCTGCCTCTTCCCCTTGGTTGTTCTTGCTCCTCTTACAGTTAATGAAAATGGCTCTTAATTGCATGGATCCCAGGAGAGCCCCAGATACAGATGCAATGGAACCTCCTGATGTGTGTGGGCTCAGGTGAGGCATTGAGGAAGGTTCTGAGGAGCCCTTCATAAGAACACTGGGCTTGCTCTCTGGCTTTAATTGAATATCTGGGGAAATGGGAGCACCTGCCCAATTCTGATGGGGGCTGAGACCTGCTGCTTCTCAGACTTAAATCTGCAGAGTTCTGGAAAGAGACTGGATTTTTCTTGACATGAAATAGTCCTTTCCTTTGGGTGCCAGGTCCCCAGATACCTGTTGTTACATAATCCTTACACATGGTCATGCTATTTACAGCCCAGGAGTGAGCTGTGTCATTTTATGGTTTTGCAATCTAGGAGGCAGGCCACACAGCAAATGGATACAAGCTGGGCACACCCTCTTGAAATAATTGCCATGTTGAATTACAATTTAGGTGAGGTAAAGTCACACCCAAGCTCTTTTACCAATATGCTGTTGTCTTTGTTGTTAATATAGCACTTAACGTGGGGTGATTTTCAATGGACCCAAGTCCAAATTAACCTAGTTTCTTCTTCCATAAAAAACATGTTTTGCAGCAGGAGGCCACAAGCATGCAGGAAGCGTGTTGGAGTCACAGATTGCCAGACCTGGCTGTGAAGTTGCATTTTTCAACTAAGAAGTAGAAGGTCCAGGTGCCCTTGATGATTAACCAGGCCCAGGTATTGGGCTGTCCTCAGAGAGGGCTGTGATGGGATTAAGCCTGTTGCAGCACAACCAAAATATTTTTTGTTCCAGTGTACAACCGAATGTACTTTAATCTGTTCTAGTTTCTTTTCTTTTCTTTTTTGCCAGCGTTGATGTGTACCAGAAAGTTTGGAAAACAGGTCCAAGTGGTAGAGATAAAAATCTACTGCAGTTGAATTCGTTGATAAGCCCAGGACATGCCTCAGGGACGTGGCATTTATCCATTTGCTCCAATCTCTTTCCCAGCAATCACTTAACATTTGGGGGAGTTGGAGGATAGCTGGGAGTAGGCATGCAACAGCTTGTAAGGAGGGAGAGGCCTGTGGACTGTGGACTGGACAGGGTGTCCACTCTTTAAATCCAGCCTTGGCAGTCTGCAAAAATAAATTCAAAAATGTTCTTTGTTGTCTTACGCTGAATGTGGTGTTACCTGTTTAATGTTGATGAGGTTTCAGCATTTCTTTCAACAGGGCATGACTACAGTATATGCTCTTGAGCCATTATCCCTTTGCTTCTCCAGGCAGAAGTTTGGAGGGAACGGGCTTTGGAGTAGGACTGAGCTACCCAAAGATGTATTTGTAACCAACAAGGTGGGCTGCCTTTGCCTGCAAGGTCATTCCTCCTATTGTCCTGGGCTCTCCTCTTAACTCCCGGAGGGCCCCTTCTCCAGGGTCATCCAGCCTCCAGGGTTCTTGCTCTGTCATCCTCTGCCTATGCCCCTTTGGTTGCTCCTTACCAAGTTTAGCTCACCCCAAAAGGACCCCAACACTCATATTTTTTTTCTCCCTTCTTTTCACCCTATTACATGTCCATTCACTCTACCTAGGCTTAGCTTAGCTGGGAATTGTTAAGAAGCAGGTATTAGGAGACAACCAGAGGAATTCAGTGAGGGGTGTGAATGGCCAATGAATTTAACCTGCTCTGCAATTTTGGAAGAGAAACTTGTAAAGCGAAATTCATCGTAACTGGTGAAATTGAGGGAGAGGAGAGGTTTTCTGAACAGAGAGGCCAGTTCAATGCTTTCTTGCCAGACTTCCAGATAACCCATGGATAATGCTGCTGAAGTTTTTGGTTTTTCCCAAGTTGGAGTTGGAGCAGCCTTATCATCTGAGAAACACTGCCAGAAGCTTGATTTCCAGGATTCCTAGGAAGGAGACAGGGTCCTGAAGGTAGAGGACATGGCACTGGATCATCCAGGGCTTCTTGTCCAAAACGATCTTGTGGAGCCCAAGGGCTGAATGGTCTAGAGGGGGTGATCCCTGGCATGAGCTAGCAATCAGCCCCTGGTACATCTTTGAGTTGCACTGTTGGGCAACTAACTGTGGGTGCCAGGAATGTTTTTCCCATCTGACGGGTTAGGTAAGGCAGCACGTTTGAGAAATGACCTCCCTTCTCGCTGGCAGATCCTTGGCTGACGTTGAAACACAGACTGTCCTTCATATACTCACTCTACCTGTTCATCTGCCCTAGTTTCAAAAGGTGTTTTCTTGTTCTTTTGTCTCTGCTGTTTTGGACTCTTTGCCCAGCTACAGTAAGTTGAGAGCAGGGCCGTGTAACACAGGCAGGAAAGGAAGTAGGCAAGACCTCTGCTCCTTTGATCCATCTTTTTCTTCATTCAGCTTGCCCAGGATATTCTACCTCATTCTGTCTGTGCCTGTCTTTATGCGAACTTCTCATCTGACACAGGGCAAGATCCAGTCATCTGGAGGAACTGGCTCCGGACGATATATATCTAGGTTTTTGATTGCTAGGTGTCCAAAAACATAAAATTTCATTGACTCCTTAATATTTTAATCCATGACATGATATTTACTGCTTACCTGTTTTGAAGTGATGTTTGCGGAATAAAAAGCACCTTAGGGTATATAGATACTAGAGAGAGGGCATATGCTGACAGGTGTCAGAATGATGATTTTCTATTGAACTCCTGCCTCCAAGCATGGATAACAGTTGTAGTTGTCACTATTTTATTTTAAGTTCTGGGATGCATGTTCAGAACGTGCAGGTTTGTTACATAGGTATACATGTACCATGGTGGTTTGCTGCACCCATCAACCCATCATCTAGGTTTTAAGCCCTGCATGCACTAGATGTTTGTCCTAATGCTCTACCTCTCTTTGCCCCCATCCCCTGACAGGCCCCGGTGTGTGATGTTCCCCTCCCTGTGTCCATGTGTTCTCATTGTTCAGCTGCCACTTATGAGTGAGAACGTGCAGTGTTTGATTTTCTGTTCCTGTATTAGTTTGCTGAGAATTATGGTTTCCAGCTTCATCCATGTCCCTGCAAAGGACATGGATGAACTCATTCTTTTTTATGGCTGCATAGTATTCCATGGTATATATGTGCCACATTTTCTTTATCCAGTCTATCATTGATGGGCATTTGTGTTGGTTCCAAGTCTTTGCTATTGTGAATGTCACTATTGTTTTTTTAACCCACTGTAGCAGCTGAAGCTGTGATTATCTTGTCCTAATAATTAACATTTGTGCAGCACTTTTCTTTGCCGCGTGCTTTCTCGTGTAATATTTGAGCTTCACAAGCCTATGGCATTGGCAGGCAAGTGTCTTTCACTCTACAGTTGGTAAAACTGAGGTCACAGAGACTGAATGACTTGCTAGTCAGGGGTAAAGCTCAGACTCAGACCCAGAACCCATGCGTTTCCATACTGCCCTTGTGCATGTATGGCTGTGCAGATGAGTAAGAGACCCTTGTTAAAGAGGCTTGGGTCACAGTCCTTTGATGCAGAAGCCTCAAAGTAGAAAAACTCATATTTCATGACTGGCTCTGTTTATTTGATTCATCTTGTGAATTCAAAATGGAAAATCCATGCATTTAGTGGCTGTGTTGTTTGCTGGGGTTGCCATTCCAAAGTACCATTAACTGGGTGGCTTAAACAACAGAAACTTGTTCTCTGACAGTTCTGGGGGCTAGAAGTCTGAGATGAAGGGTTGGTTCCTGCTGAGGGCAGGATGTTCTCCAGGTCCCCCTCCTTGGCTTGGAGGTGGCTGTCTTCTCCCTGTGTCTTCATGTTGTCTTACTGTGCACGTGTCTCTGTCTAAATTTCCCCTTCTTACTGGGAAACCAGTTGTACTGGATTAGGGCCCACCAGAATAACCTCATTTTAACTCGATTACTTCTGTAAAGAGATTGTGTCTAAATAAGGTCATCTTCTGGGATACTGGGGCTTAGCACTTCAACATACCAATTTTGAGGGGACTCGATTTAACCCGTAATGATAGGCATGCAGTTGATAAAATAAAAAATGTAGGCCGTGGTGAGAATTTTTAACTCTGTCCTAAGAGTTAAATACTTTCTAGTGAATACTAGAAAATACTAGAAAATTCTAGAAGTGAATACTTCTAGAAAGTGAATACTTTCTAACCAAATGAGTAGAAAACACTTCTTTGTCCCTTTGCAAGGTTTTTTCTTTCCCTCTGAACCCTCTAACTCCTAGCCTGAGAAGCTTACATTGGGAGTCCTAAGTAGGCCTAGCTTTAACTGCACCCCCACCCCTCCATGACTCCCACACTGGGAGACAGTTCTCCCTGGGTCTGCTGGTCTCTGCACATCTTGTGAGCAGAGGCATCGTCTGCCCTTTGTTCTGGACTACCTTTTCAAGGATGCTTATATAATGCATGGCCTTGGGAGGCGGACATAGTGTCTCCCTCTGGCACAAAGAGCAGGCAGGATTATTGCCCATTATAAAAGATTCAGGTTCTCTAAGTTCAGGGTTTCTCCTCTGTAATGCAACCTACTGTATATGCATCATTTGTTTTTCTTTGCCTTACAATATGGATACTGGGACTCGGAGGTATGGCATAAAAAATGCTGATCCAGGAATCTCATTTCTTTTGCCAGCACCCATGAAATTGGCAGGAGAACTTGTTAGCTTGTAAAGCGGGTAAAATCTCAGATGCTTTACAATTCTTGAGACACTTAAAATAGCTTGTGTACTGGCATTGCGGCTCAGATCTTAATCGTGGGTCAATGCTTTGGCATAAGTCTGTGCTTTTTACGCTTTTTAACGTTATCTCTGGAACTCTTTTCCCTCAAATGAAATCCAACAGGAAACTAATACAATTAAGGCTTCTCTGGATCAATGACATAGGGGTCATTGACTAGAAGCCTAGATTTCTAGAAGCCTAGATTTCTAGAAGCCTAGATTTCTCCATCTTAGACAGCTCCAGAGACATCTTTGGAGAAGCTGCCCAATTTCAAAAACACTGTGTTGGGCTACTAAAGACCCCTTTAAAACTCAAATCTGATGTCTGGGAAGAATAACACATTAAATTCTTATCAGACAATGCCAGGTGCAGTGCCTCACACCTGTAACCCCAGCACTTTGGGAAGCTAAGGCAGGAGGATTGCTTGAACTCAGGAGTTTGAGACCAGTCTGGGCAACATAGCAAGACCTCATCTCTACTAAAAATAAAAACAAAATTAGCCAGGCCTGGTGGTGTGCGCCTGTAGTCCCAGCTAGTCTGGAGGCTGAGGCAGGAGGATTGCTTGAACTTTGGAGGTTGAGACTGCAGTAAGTCATGATTGCGCCACTGTACTCTAGCCTGGGTGACAGAGTGAGGCCCTGTCTCAAAGAAAAAGGTCTCATGAGACAGATTAATTATATTTAGCAAAAAATTAAGTTACCAGTTACTCATAGGTCAGCACAAACTCATTTTTCAAAGGATTGGACTCCAGGACTAGTAAATTTTGATTGTAGGCTACAGAGGGGAAGTTTGTGAGAGGGAACACTGCATCGGCGGGCCCTGGGCATACAGCAGGGCTCAGAGGTAGGGGAGGGGAGTGCTAGAACTGAGAGGTGCTAAGAGTATAGTAGATGGTAATGAAAGTCACTTTTGAACTACTTGGTTTCTGTGCTCATTAGGATCCCTTCAAGCTGTCCTGTGAGCTTTGGGTAGAGCCAGGCAGTGGGAGAGAGGCACCTTTCTTCCATGTGTGTTTTATGTTGGGGTTCTGATGTGAGGCATCATTTGAAAAAATTACTATCCTGCTGAAGCAAGATTAAAAGCTCATCTTTTTTACTGTCTTACCTGACGCTGTGGTAATGAGTGTTGAAAAGTAAAACAGATGCTTGTTCCCTAGAGCACAAGAGGAAGGTGGCTTAGCAGAAAGAGTTCCTGGGGTTTGGACCCAACTCTACTACTGTCTTCTGACTCTACTGTGAATTTGCTGTGTGACCTTTGGCTGGCCACTCAACCTCTCTGGGCTTGTTTTCTCATCTAACAGAAGGGATACCTCCTTCTGGAGACATGATTTCAAAAAGTCCCCATATTTAAAGGCTGATGTACTGTGAAAAGGTGATGTAGCTTTTAACCCCCCAAAAACATTAAATATTGGATTCCTATGTGTTTGCATCTTAAGCTGCTAGACCTCATTCATGCCCTTTGAGCAAGA